TGTCATTGTTGTTGTTGTTGTCAGACAGCGCCCCCATGAACAAGGGAATTGCAAGGAACTTTGTCTCATCACTGTGAACAGTGGTTGAAGAGCACATACCTGGGGCCAAGGAGGCCACAGTCAACATCTCCTTCTGGCACATGGCTGACCAAGCTGAGCAGGAGACACCCTACCAGTGTGGATACATTGTCCTGGCCATGATAGTGGGGTTCGCCATCGCCCTGAAGGAAGGAAGGACAGGCAAGACGGTCCAGAAGAGGGCCATCAAGCATGCCAGGAGCTTCACCATGAACAAATACACATCCATAATACAAGACATGAGAAATGGATGGATGTTGAGAGAGAAACTGAACAGCATCACAACCAAGATGATGCTGACGCCTTGGATGGGAAAGGAGCCACCTCCAGATCACAAGGGGTTCACAAGGAAGCAATCCAAGAGCGCCATGGCCAACAGCAGGTCAGAGGAAGATGATGATGACAACAATAATGATGGCAGGAAGGGCAGCAAGCACAAGAGAAGGTTGGTTAGAAAGGGGAGGGTCAAGAATGATGAGGAAGATGACAATAGCAACTGGAAGGTCATAACACATCAAGGGGGACCAAAGACAACCAATGATGATAATGATGGCATGTGTGTGATAGACCTTTGTAAGGAGTGATGACGTATGTACACACGAAAAGTGAGATAGTATATGTATAATGTATAATAACAACATATGAGTGCACATGCACATGAACAGATCACTGCCTCCTAGCAGCAGTACAGTCACCACTTACATTGCATTGTTTCTTTGGCCATACTACTTCTTCTTTTCAATGTGAGTTCTCAGCTGTGGCAGAGTCCAACTTAGCCACGCCCAGGGTGTGGCAATATCACACCTGAGGAAAACCCTGAGGGAAATGGGATTTCCCTACAATTACCACCAGAGTTAACTCTCCCATATTATACATTACCAAGGGGTAAATAAAGGACTTCTTCTTACATGACAAGGGTAAGGACCTCCCTGAGGCCCATCTACTTGAGACCCAGCTGGTCTAATTCCCCTACACTCCTACATTTGGTGACAACAGCAGGATCATCTTCATATTAGACAATCCAGTATTACAGGAAAGGGAACCCCACTGAATAAAGTATGATGAGCTTGACCTCATCCCTGAGTTCAAGTTTGTCCACCTCAAGGTTGACCAAGACATCTACCAAGATGTCTTGTCAGGTACCTACGCCCATGACCCAGCCTCTCAGGGAGGTGCAGCCCAAGGTGACTCCACCAGTCTCAGAAAAGACCAACCAGAGCAGTGATGAACTCACCAAGCTCAAGAAGATGATGGCCCAGTTACTGGTGTCAGTAACAGCCATCAACCAAAGAGTCCACTCTGTTGAAGGGGGTTTAGAGAAGAGACTCTCTCCAATCAACAATGGCGACAAAGCCCCAAAGACACCCTCAAAAAGATCCAATGAGACCAATGCAACCTCAAGTTGGAAGCTGTGGAATCAACAGATGGTTGGAGTGACACCACAAGCGCCACCAAGCAGGAGGCTGGAGAGCTTCCTGCAACCATCTCAAGAGACAAGATGGGCAGTGGTCAACATCAACAATTTGTCCATGTTCAAGGCCATCACATTCCTCAACAAGATGGAGGAAGCCACCAGCCAGGGAGGATGGCCCAACAACAAGCTAGTCAGGAGGACCGCCAACCAGCTTGAGGGGGAGGCTGAGGCAATATGCCTGAAGGCCAGGGTTTCCCTGAAGTGGACAGCGCTACAAGAGTGGCTGGTCCAGGCATATGGCCACAAGAAGCTGGACTGTTATTACACATACAACCAGCTGACTCAGATCCAACAAGTAAAGTCAGAGTTCTCCTCATTGGCAAGAAGGATGGAGATGAGTGGTTCTGTGTGGACTATTGAGAGCTCAACAAGAAGATGAAGTGGGATTTGTATCTGATGCTGGACATGAATGAGTGCCTAGAGGGCCTAGGGAAGGCCTGATTCTGATTGAAGATGGATTTCTGGCAGATCCCTCTCATGCTGGAGGCCTCCAAGATTGCTCTGTTCATGACATGTTGAGGGCTCTATGAGCTGATGGTGATGCCATTTGGGCTCACCAATGTGCTGGCTACATTCCAGTGAGTGATGGATGAGATGATGGGCTTGTCCAAGGGAGAGTGGTTGTGGGTACACATGGATGATCTCCTTGTCTACAGCACCACTTTTGATGAACACCTTGAGCACCTTGAGGAGATGTTCAGGTGAATCTGTGACTGACAACTGTATGTCAAGCTCATGAAGTGTGAATTTGTGAGGGCCAAGATGGAGTATCTTGGCCACATCACTGGCAATGATGGGATCCAGATGGACCTGAAGAAGATTGAGTCTGTGTGTGAGGTGAGGCTGCCTAAGAACTGAAAGGAGCTGTGGAGCTTCCTTGGGTTGGCCTTGTACTACTGGCGTTTCATATGCAGCTTCTTGCATGTTGCTAGTCCCCTATCCAAGCTCATGAGTGAGCAAGTCAAGTGGAAGTGGATGATGGAGGAAC